ATAGCGCTGTAGAGGCGGATTAAGAAGATAGCGATGACTGGATGAAGCCAGATCTGTGCCTCACACAGCTGAGCCACAGGACAGCCCCGATCGGAGGCAGCAAAGGGAGGCTTTGAACTACTGTGAAGGACAAGCCTGCTCACGTGGGAACGAACGCACATGGCCCACACASGTGGCAGCAGCCTCGTGGGATCCTATCACCCCAGCAGGTATCACACCACGCCGAGCCCCTGTGCCAGCAGGGAGCTCTTGGGGTCCCGCAGGCAGGGATCAGCAGGATCCCCTCTCGAGCCAGAGGACATGGCTTTCCTCTGCAGGGGCTTCCTGCCCACAGGCAGCCTCTATCAGCCTGGCTCTAAAGGATGCTGCTGGGACAGGAGAGGGTATCATGGAGCAGCCCATGCTATCCCAGCAAGCAGAACCTCAACACAGACCCAGCCCAAGTGGAGTCTGACCCTGTGCAAAAGCCCTCTCTGAACGTGCCTGCTGCACACTCTGCTCACATCTCTGTCCCCACCATGAAATGAGGTCAGTGGAGATCTGGGGGAGTTGGTTGCCCAGCCAAGAACAGGGCTGCAGGGATGCCCATGGGTGCCCTGCCTCCAACGGACCTCTGCCTCACCCATCCCCTGACAAGCCAAGATCTTCTGCAGCTTCTCTGCAGCCCTCACCCCCTCCTAGCCCCAGTCCTTGTCGCTGGGCACAGCCACTGCATCAGGCAGCCACAGGCTGCTCCTGCCCTAGGGGAAGAGCCAACATGTGTTTGCAGCCAGCCCAGAGAACCATTGCTCCACAACACACTCACTTTTAATTTGCTTACCCAACCAATAAGGCAGAAACGAGGAATGGCAGCTAATTAAAAGTATTGATTCATGTGGCATTCAAGACTGTTTGGAGCGGGGTAGGATGAACAGCGGGGAATGAGAAGAGAGGGTAACAAGGCTGCAAGACTCCGTACTGGTTTATCCTCACTCCTTGTGTCTTTGTACCATGTGAAACCTCCAGACCCTCATTCCATCAGTTGCCTATGAATTTTCACTGCATCGTGGCCTGTGTATTTCTGTGTCTGTCTAAGATTAGCTGTCAATAGGCAGGCAAGAGTCCTGAAAGGGGGACATGCACGGCTAGGATGTATTTTTACAGCAGTAGCACAGCACACTCCAAAGGTTACTGCCTTCCCCTCTGACCTTCACATCTGCGAAGCCTTATGCAAACACACAGAATACCACGGGCTTTTTGATTCAGGTACAAGCACTAGCAAACTTATTGGGAAGGAGTTATTAGAAGAAGGGTCAACAACTCCAGAGAGCTTTCAACCTAGATGGTGCACAGGTCACGTAGACTAAACACCAGTGAATATTCCCTGCTACATAGAACAGCACCAAAGCCGCAGCCTGCAGCACACACAGGAACAAGGGCTGGAAAAGAGGAGGCTGGCACCAGGGCCCTGGGTCTCTGTAGGGGCTGGGGTCCATGGAGCAGAACCCCTAGCAGAGGTCACCTTACAAGGTGACACCACCTTGTAAGAACACAGGAGCTGAGGCTGCCTGTGTCTGCCTAGCATGGACTTGGCTGGAGAGGGGGCTGAATCTCAGTGTCTCAAAACTTTGTGCTTAATTAAAAGCAAGTTGAGCAAAAAGTTTGTGGCTTAATTAAAAGACAAGCCAAGTGAAGAGCATCTTGACAGCTCTCTGCCAGCGACAGAGCTATGAATAGACTTAGGAGCACCTGCAGCCACCCATGGGGTGAGAAACTGCCACTCTTGCTCTGTGCTACCCATGTCATCATCTCCCTACCCTCCATCTCGCCCAACTACTCACAGCCACTATGGTGGGAGAGCAAGAGAGTCAAAACCTGGGGCTGAAAGTTTGCTCCAGTCTCCACGGGCACGGGCTAAGGTCCCTCTGACCACACACCAAGCAGCAGGCACCAGGGTCTAGATGACAAAGGAAGCAGAGTCCCCAAGGGCAGCAGCAGGAGTACGGGCAATCCTCATCGAGTTGCGCTGATCTTCTGCAGTCTCATAAGTAAATGTAATATTTATTTTATAGCCACAGTCTGAGATCCAGGAGCAAAMATAAATAAATTAATTAATAAATAAATAAAAATAAAAAAGAAAGGATATTATCAGCCTACACTTGCACACATGGTCTGGATGTCTGTATATTATACATACACCAGTTATTTCCACCTTTGCAATACAAAGCCTTCTGAGACAGAAACCTTCTACAGAACATACAGAAGTAATATTAGATTCCAAAGTTTAATAGCCTAAGGAATTATCATGGGGAAGAACATGTGTTGACTACCACTAGCAAAACACATTATGAGAAAGACTGCACCCGGAAAATATCAATCAATTTGCTTTCTATAAAGTGTGGAGACCAATTGCTCCTATTAAAATGAAACCTATTTAATATTAAAGACAGAAAAGCCAATGCCTTTACTGTTTGTCTGAAATCTGTAGTCAACTTTAAAATATACTTTTTAGCCTGGAAAAGCCTTCCTGGAACAGATTAGTGAACACCAAAAATGTACATTGTTTTGTATACCCTGCTATATGAACTTCAGTAATATTGCAGCTACTACATACAGTACATTCAGTATTTCATATTATTAGGCAGAATATGATGAACTGAGATGAAAAATTACCCAAGCAACCTAAGGGAGCACTTTCCATTCAGAAATAGAAGGTGTCTTAAGGAGACAGGTACTTTCYAAACAAACATGTAAATCCAAGTCCCCAGTGCTTTGGCCGATCATGTTACCTTACTAAGCAACCTTAAAAACTTGGTACAGAAAATATTCAGAGAATTAGGCAGAAATTATAAATCTCTTAACAATTAATGCTAATATAAATCTTAAGATTTATAACAGATCATAAATTCATAGAATTTTATCACRATTTCTATATGAAGAATTCATTAATTTATTAAGGTGTAAGACTTAGATAGAAGTCAAGATAACGCTGGAGAAGTAAGCCTCAACTATGTCTTTTCTTAAAGGCTGTAGAGCTTGATTTCATAACATATTTCTAACTTCTACTTTTCCAGAAAATTCACGCAGTCAATATAAATCTGTACAGAAGTACATAAAGAAAAACATAAATTGGCAAAGAACAAGTTAAATTTGATTGTAACATACAAGCCAATAAGATAAGATCCATATCCAGTCTTCCGCTCCATTTGAAATCGGGGTGCAGGCCGATGCAGTGCAATGCAATCGCTGAAACACGTTCTTCTGTTATTGGTAATACTGAGGTCTGACATTTTACAGGATAACGAGAACATGAATAATAATGGATGAAACGAGAAGAAAAAAGGCCAGCTGTAATTCCTGACCTAGGAATTACACAATYGCCAGCAAAAGGCTGCAATCAAAAGCTTTACTTGTAGGTTGGGTAATAAAACATCATTGTCGTTTCTCAAAGGGATATGTGAAAAAAAAAGAGAATTCTGCAAAATATGGTTTACTTTTAGCTTATACTTTGCCAGACAATAAGCAATATAACARAGAGCTTATTAAATATCATCAATGTATGTTCCAGCAATTATTTCGCAGATTCTCAAAACAMTGAATTCCACTCACTCTGTTATTCAATCACTCACTGAATTAATAAATCAAAAGCTTWATTTAATTGCTTGATATACATCTTGATACTACAACATCAGGAATCTCTAGAGCTACAGAAATCTGTGCTCTAAGTTACCAGGTCTTACCAACACAAGGGATCTCAATTTCACATAGCATAAAGTTCTCAGAATGGAAACCCCTGGTGGTCCTCAGACTTTCAAATTATAAAAGTCTGTTACAARAACACTGAAGATTTCTCAAGATTTATTTTACTCTTACTGTCTTCATCTCACACATCAATTATTTTTATCATCTCTTTATAGCAAAGCACCTTCTTTCAAAGCAAGACTTGGTATGCGGGATTTTCACGCTAGTGTCGAAGATACTGTTTTTCCTCCTTCTCCCCACTCTAAAAATCAACCGAGACTGACGGTTCCTGCTGCATGTAACAATCATTCCTGCTGAGAAGAAAATGCTGAAGAGCCGACAGGATGATATACTTCATTATATACAACAGATTTAATGTAACAGATGATGCACTTCATCAATATCAGTGCAAATATCATCAAGGAACTGTACAACACTTGGAAAGGTTACCTACAGGAGCTTTCATATAATTAATACGAAACCCTTTAGCATTCTGAACCTTTATTAGTAAATTACCTTTATTAGTAAATACCCTTTTACAACTACATGTGCTCACAGAACTTTTTACCTCATTGAACAATGAAAATGTTTCATAACTACTGAGAAACATGGCACTGTATCCTCATTATCATTAAATCCTCTAAGCATATTTCACACCGTTTTCATTTTTATTTTGAAGTAAGCCTGTCTACTGGCAAAAAGCACACAAGTTAATCATTTTAATTTCTTAAAGAAGGCAATTCCCCAAAGTCCTGTAATGCAAGAACAGTATTGCACGCTCCTGGTTTTATATTCCCTTCATCAGTTCCCACATTCCTCCGTTTTTTCAGTACTAGCTGGCACTTTTGCAATGAAGACAACGTCAAGTGAGTGTTCTGGGCTCGTGTAATTGGAAATTTGCTGCTTTTGCATGTCTGTAAAAGACATACATCTCAACTATTTCAAAACCCACTCGAAAAACTTGGTCTGATTTAGGTAGCAGCCCTGTCACTTTCTTTCAGACTTCAAATTTGAGCAAAATTTTACCTCTTTATGTATTATAAACCAGAGTAGTTAGGTTAAAAATTGATATTTATGAAAAATTAATTCAGTTCCTAATGACTGGCATTTACGAGAAATCTATCACTACAGACACTAACTTTCTAACAAAAACAAGTGCAATTAAATCCGCTGGTGAAAATCCTTAATGATGCAATTGTCACAATCAGCTGCATGTAGAGAGGGTTACCTTAGTTTTAACAAAGCTATTAATCAAAACACTAGAACACCATTTCTATAAAGGATATTCCATTTCGGCTCTGGTATCACCGAGATGATGTGACAGCTCAATTAAGTCGTCCTCTTTGTTTTCATCAAACACTTTGAACTGAATATCAAGCTCTTCATTCTTGTTATCTTTCCAGTCCTATTTTTCAAGRCATAGTGTAAGTTAATTCCCCATTTTATTCTTAAAGCAACATTTCTTCCCACTTCAAAGATGACATCACTGCAAAATATAACACATTTCCTTCTGAGCAGAAAATACAGGCTTTATAAAGAAAGTTGTAACTGGTTTTCTGATCTTAAAATGCTTTATCATTACAAAAGTTACTGTATAAAGCAGAAAATATTCCTCTGCTTTGTAAATTAATTCCCAATGGAATCAATAATCTGGTATCAATACTGATTAAAAATTAAGAATAAACAAACGGCAAGGGAGCACTTGTTGTTTTTAATTGATAATACAGCTTTCATGAAATATTAAATAATTAACTTTACTGACTAGAGATAGAATTCCACACAATAGCCTTCCTTTTTTTTTTTTTTTTTTTTTAGAAATTAGATTTTTGTGATCACTATATCTTAATTGCTTTTAAACTTCAAGTATTTGGATGTTAGCACATTCCGTTTTCTACTATGAATCATTACAGCACAGTTTATTTGCCCCTCTTCACCAYACTATTATAGCATACAAAACCTAGCAGTGCTGCAATTTAAAACATTACCAAATCTCAACTGCTAGCTGAGAACAACAATAACTATTTGCAGTTAAACAGAATAAAAGTAGATCTGGACTGATAGTTTTAGGCCTGACCTCTCCAAGCCCCAGGCTGTCACTGGCACTGCTTTCAACACCACCTGGTTACCTTCAAAAACTACAGACTGTATACAGCTATTGATCACAATTAACTAATAAACTACTTAGAGGCAATATATTTTTTCAGCCCACAACATTAAAATTCATTTCTTAGGCGCACTTTGAGATCAAGATCTTCTGGAGAAGTATCAAGGGCATTGATCAACTACAAATGGGCTACCTATAATCAAAAATATAGGCATTTTTAATTTTAAAAAATGGAATGAAAATAAATAYTTAATGTCTTTGACTATTTCAGTCTACTCTAGTTATATATATATAAAAAAAAGAYGTAAAGAGATGGACATTGCCATAAGAAAACCCCACACACTTCAGGAGATGAGCAGGACAGCTTCACACAACCTAACAGCTACAGCACAGGCAATCGCCTGCTGGTCACATAAATCCCTGTATGGTATGTCCAGGTTTTGCAACACAAACCCACAGAGAAATAACTACAGTGCTACCAAATTTATCATGTCTCACATATATAAAAATATATTTTAAAATATCTGGCTTGAGCTACTGTAAGCAATATCAAATAATGTTTCACTTTTGTATTGCAAGTGTTTCTGCAATTTCAAAATTGTATTACCTGTAAAAAGCCCAGCTTTATTACATAAAGTTATTCCCATGACCCATTTCTGTATTACTTCTCTCTCATTTCTTCCCCCAGAGTGTTCTCCAGTTCGAATGAAACTTGTTTCTGCTGCAACTGAAAAAAAATAAATAAAAATAAAATTCAAACAAAACCAAAAAGACACCCCAAACAGAAATCACCAGGGGTACCTTCTACTCTTGCACAGCATCTTGCAAAACGCCTGAAGTCTCAGGCTACAAGCTAATGTTTTAATCAGGTGCACATTTCAACTCAGTTATTTTAAAACATGCAACAATATAAACAAAGGGGATAGGGGTATGGGGGGGCATGATAAATTAAATAAGCACTAAATGGTCACTGGGCACGGTAGGTCAGAGGCGAGACTTGACATGCTGGAACAAGGCATGATAAGCAGCAGGGGGTGGCAGGGTGACACCTTCCCTACCTGATAACGCTGTCACGAGGCCACTTACCAGCAGCAATGAAGCATGATGCTCTCAGCAATGCCCAGGAACTGCCCACCACCAGCTCCTGCATCCAGGGTTTGTTCTGCGGAGCCCTGAAAGAATCCAGAAGGAAGCCCAGGTGACTCTACACCTTCCCTCCAGCAGCTCTACCAAATACCCTTAACAYTGTCATTATGGAGACTTACTCCTGAATTGAATTTTTAAGTTGTTCCTCCAATTGTACAAGTCAGATGAACTTCATGATTTATACTAACATATAGATTAAAATCGAATACAATTACTTTAGCAAACCCTTTTCAGATCTGCCAGCTTGTATGTATTGCAATGCTCTCACATCATATCCAAATAAAGAGCTACTATCAGAGGAGGGCTGAGAAGCACTAACAGACAAACCCAGACAAGCCAAGAGAAAAGGAGGAGTTCCAGATTGCCGTAACTCTGGTTATATTCATTCCTGTAACAACCAACAAAAYGAAGAAAAATAACTGAAGTTCTGCAAATCTATATTCACTACTCTGCTCAGCATGAATCCTTTATATTATTTTTCATCCAAAATTACGTAATGATAAAAAACCAAAAYATGACCTATATATACAAGTTATAAGTAACAGTGAAAAACACAYCCGCTTTAGTCATTTCCTAACTTCTTGTGGCTTTAAGGTCCAATTAAAATGACCTTAACCAAATGAAATTGTTAATTGCTTCAGTAAGGGTCATCACTTTCTTTTCCACGTTACCTCTAGATTTGGACAGGGATTAGGGAAAAAAAAAAAAAAAGGTTTTTATTAGCCATTATTTCTTACCTCTAAAGACATGCAATTGATACAGAAAAGGTGAAGTCGTCTTTTAACACATTCAGCATTTTTAAGCTGTTCCTTCACATACAAACTTGGGCCATCAGAAATCGYGGTATAACATATATTATACTGGCTACCTGTAAAATAAATATATATAAAAAAATAAAGTGCATGCTCATCCTAACTTGAACATTCATCACCCAAGTGCTTAAACACTAAGCGAGCATCACATTTGACTCGCACATCGTTGGGTTTCACTCTAATTGCCTTTTGCATTGCCCAGATAGCACTAGTTTTGCTTGTGGAGCTTCCTGCATGCTAAGGCGAGGCTCAGTTCTGTCTTACAAGTACTCCGGGAAGTTTAATTACCACAAGCAGACAAGCTTATCACTGTATCTATCATCTCATCTAAGCAGTATCAATCTCAATTAGCACTAAAAGCTAAAGCATTAGGATAAACACCAGCACCAAGTAGGCTCTGCTCTACCACACTGGAATTCTAGTGCCTGCTGTAACACTGATATAATTTTCAGTAAAATGAATGATTTTCCTGAAGGGGTCAAGTTCACATCTCAGTTACATCTGCACCTTGGCCCAACTTCACCTATCGGAGTACCTGGATTTTGACCTAGTGAGACTCAGGGTCTTCTCAAGGACAAGGCTCCTTCTTCAGTTCATTGCCTGCTCACACACATGGTGGGAGCAACCCAGGACTCCCCTACACTGAGTTCCTGTTGGAAACACTGCCCGACCTCCGTATTTGAGCTGTACGATAAAAACTGTAACCTGCTGCCTGGCGCAGGCTTATGGCACATTAGTCACAATCCAAGCCTTGAGCTCTCAAGTTGGGTTTCCAAGCAGAAATATCTCCTGTTAACCCCCAAAGTCACATTAAGTGGCTACAACCCAAACTGTTAGCTCCTCCAGTCCTAGGCCACAGTCCCGAGGTAGGTTTATGTTCTCAGAAGCCTGTGTGATCCTTCCCGCTGAAAGAGCTGCTCCCATTAATGAGGAGAAATTCCCAGGATTTCGAGTCGTTTCCGGGCGTCCCTGCAAGCACCCCACAGGGCCGCCCGGCCTCGGAGCCTCCCGCAAGCGCCCCAAGGTCCAAGGAAGACCAAGGAGGAAAACGACTGATTTCATTTCCTATAGGGATGTTCTTTCTGAGGAAAGACCTATGACACAGCAACGCCTGCCCAAGTCCTTGCACCTCCCCTTTTAGCCATCAACATTTAACACTCCCCCCATAAAGCGTAAGATCTTCTTATGGAGGATCCCCTCTGGGAGGATTCCCTAAGGGAGGATCCCTTAAGCTTCCCTCCACTGTTTAAATATCCCTATTCSTAAATATCCTCATTGCTACCCCTCCTGCTGCCTGAACAGCTCCAAAACTGCTCTGCCGCAGCATTTCATGGAACTTACAGCTATGGAAAACCGAGCACCTGCCACGCTGCCACTTCATCGTTATTTGTGCAATTTTTATCTCAGTTTTGCATCTAGCAGTAATTTCTCAATAATGTTAGCAATAAAAATGCCAGATTTTTTATATATATATATATATATATATATATATATGGTAATCTTGATGGCGCTGTACAGAGCTTCCTGGGTTAATATTTCCATTTTTAACAACTTTCTATGCGCCAGGACTGGATTAGATTCTGTGAATATAATATATATTTTTATTACAATGCTTGGATTTCCTTCCATCATTAAAGAACTGCGTGCCATCTATACAGAGAGAGAGAAAAAAACCCCAAACCTGCAGCTGAACACTATTTCTGAGTTTTCAAATCTACATTTGACATTGCACATGCCTTACCATTTTTGACATCTTTCTGATTCAAAGTCAAATCCCAGTAGTTWGTTGAATTAGTATTCCAGTTCTTAGTAACGCTTAAATTTTCACTCCTTTTGTACCATCTCTGCTRCTTTCGAGCTGTGCTTCGCTGCGTTACCTGTAGCTGCCCAGCAGTGCTCCCCACACTGCACTCTGTCACTGCGTGCAGTTTTGCAGAAGGCAACAGAGAAGAAAAGGGAGTTATTTTTTCAGGAAATGGGGGAGYACATAGCTGTGCTCCAAGGCTGTTGCAGGACTTGCCTTTTGCTTTGCTCCGCAGAGCTCCCTACAGATCAGTAGCTGACTTGCATAGTTGGTAAAGCTGTTGTAGCTCCCCGTGCTGTTTAGGGATGCCTTTCAATGCTCTTCTCTCATCACACCGTTTAGACAAAGGCCTTTGCTGTGGGTATGCACCAAAAGCTTCACAGAGCAAYGCCAAAGCCTCTCTGCTGCTTCTCAGCAAGGCTTGTGTCCTAACTGTGGCATTGTAATAAACATGTTTGTTCACTAAGGCTACTGAAAGATTTTGTTAAGCAACCACATGTTGTTCATTATATGGAATGGGGTGAGACAGAGGGCACTGAGGAGGGCAGTCTGCCTTCCTCCAAAAACGACCACCAGAAGGCGGATCACGACCACCTAGCGACAGCCGGCACAAGCGCATCCTGATTAGGCAACGTCAACAACACAGCGCAGCCTCATCACAATCTTCGAGAACCTTCTAGAAAGACCACCAAGGGCAGAGCTTGGACTCTATAAATACTGARAMTTTGGGGACTGAGGGCGGGGTGTGAGAGTGATTGCATCCAGGCTGTCACCCTTTGTATCCAGCTTACTTTAATAAAATGTAGATGAGAAATTGGCTTGCCTCATCTATAACAGCATGAGCACTGGGCAGCACTTGCCCTCCCCGTGCCATGTTGTCCAGGCTGCCTCTGACCTCCAGCGAAGCCAACTTTACCYCTCCTTATAGACGCCCTTCCTGTCTATCTTCCTTCCCCTGGGCAGCAGCACAGCCTAYGCAGCTGCTGCAGACCATTCTGCTCAGCCAAGCAGCTGGGCATTGCTCCATAGGGCCCAGCGAGACCCATGGAGGCCTCATGGGAGCACCTGAGCTCATGCTGGCTCCCCGGGCACCGCACACAGGCCTCAGCTCCTGGGATCACATTACTTGAGGAGATCAAAGGTCCTGCTACAGCTATAGATAATCCGGAGAAAGAGGCAGGCAGAGGAATTCACATCCTCTTGCAGGCTTTATCTGGCTCCAAAATGGATAAGCCTAAATACCCAAGTGTATTTCCCCTCCCTCRCCTCCATCCTCTAGTCCAGGAGACGAGATAATCTGGCATCTGACTGAGGCGGAATGGCAAAATTTAGGAACAGGTGCAGGAAACACTTGATGTCTCAGAGGCAGGGAGGGGAATAGGGAGTCTGCAGCCTAAACTGTCCTCCTTCAGCAGGCCCTCACCTTAGCCACAGGGAGGAGAAACGTCTCCTGCCACAGAGGCCCCCAGCCGCTGCCCACAGAGGCGGCCTGTGCTCCCTTCAGGCAGGATTGACCCCTCTGCAGTCTGTGTCAGTGCCCTCTGGCCTAAGCCCAGCTCCTGGCTTAAGGGCTGTCCTTGACCACTGCTGTCTGCAGTCCAGCCAAGGCAATRTGCCTGCTGTGCCAGGAGCTGCCTCGCTCAGACACCAGCACAGCCCCACCATCCCCGTGGAGATGCACACCGTGAGCAGAGCCTGCTGGGGCTGCCCAAACACCTGCACGCACCACGTAGCTCACGGACCGTCGCCAGTGYTGGAGCTGCTCGCAGGCCGTATTTGTGCACGTGACCCTGGGGGCTCTCTGGGCTTTTCTGCAGCTTCCGCGAGCCTCCGTGTGCATGTGTTGATGGAGCCCTCCAGGGTTTTGTGTGACTGACACTTTCCTACATGCGCATGTGGACCCGAGGATCCCTCGGGGATTTCGTTCAGTCTATCCATGTCACTGCATGCACATAGCCCTGGGGGCGCTTTGGGATTTTGTGCCACCTTGCCGTGCCTCCATGCACAAGTGGCCTTGAGGGCCCTCCACTCTTTCACGTAGCCTCCCCTGGCCTTTGTGCGCATGTGGCCCCAGGTTCCTCCCAGCTTTTGTGCAGCCTCCCTGAGCACTTGACTCCCGGGGCCTTACGGACTTTTGTGCAGCCTCCTCGGACCTCCATGCCCTAAGCCTAAGCTAGGGTTTAGGACTAAAGGGATAGGCTTAAGGTTAAAGGGCTTGAGGCCAAAGGTCTTCTGTCATAAGGGCTTAGCGCTATGTTTACAGTGCTGAGGGATAGAGGTTTAGGGCCAAAAGGGCTAAGACTAAGTGGCTTCTTAATACTACAGGGGTGTTGAGAGGCTTATTCTGTTTTTTGGTGACAAGAGGAGTTAGCATGTGCTATTTCTTTTGTGTCGATTATGCACATTTTCACTTTTGAGTGCATGATTGGTTCTCTTGCTTATACCTGTCCTTAGCTAGAGGAGCATGCGTGCTTCCTGCTCATGGTGGCACCAGCAGAGGTGTGGAGGGAGCATGGAGCATGGCAGTGGTGTGTGTCCCACTGTGCCAGCCACCGTGGAGGCACGCGGAGGACCCCCGTGAACCCACAGAGAGGGTCCCTACATTGTGCCACCTTGTGCTGTGCGGTTGCACTGCGTTGCTGCATTGTGCCGTGGCGTATCGTGCAGTGCACTGAGCTGTGCTGGAGCGGTGCGGTGCGCTGTGCTGCTGTGGCGGGGTGCCTTGTGCCACTGCGGTGTGCTGCGCTGCACCGTGCTGCTTTGCCTGGACAGGGCTCTATGCTGCCTTGGCGGGGTGGAGCGGAGCGCCGTACTCCTGGGCTTTGGAGCGCCGTGCTCCTGTCCTTTGGAGCACCATGCTCCTGGGCTTTGGAGCACTGTGCTGCAGTGCTTTGGAGCACCCTGCTCTGGTGCTGTGGATCACCGTGCTGCTGTCCTTTGGAGCGCCGTGCTCCTCTCCCTTGGAGCACCCTGCTCCTGCGCTTTGCAGCGCCCTGCTCTGGAGCCGTGGCGCGGAGCGGCGCGAAGCAGCGCAGCGCAGAGCAAAGCAGAGCAGCACAGAGCAGAGCAAAGCAGCGCAGCGCAGAGCAGAGCACTGCGTGCGCCAGGCCCAGCAGAGGCAGCTCGCAGCGCACCGCGCTGGCGCCTGATGGTGACAAGCAGTGCGGTGCGGGCGCCGAGTCCCGAGCGTGGCCCCGTGTTCGCCCGGAGTGGCGCCAACTGCCGCCGCTCCTCAGCCTGCTGGTGGCCCTGCGAGCCGGGCGGGGACACGGGCTGCTCCATGGGCAGGGACCCGGGCAGGCCGGCCTGCCGGGGGCAGCTGGGTCTGTCACCACGTRGCTCTGCGCAACTCGCAGGGCCGTGGGGAGGGAGAGGAGATGGGATGGGTGGGATGGCCRTGCAGGGTCCCGGGGGTGAGAGCTGTGCCAGGAGCAGCGCCTGGCGCTGTGGGACGGGAGCTCTGTGCCCGCCTGTGCTTCCTGAGGTGCCTGGCGGCTGTGTGGGGCCGGCTGCCAGCTCGGTCCCCACTACAGCCTGGAGGTGGGTGGCTGCTCTGGGGAGCTGTCCTGGGAAGCCTGCACACTGGCATTAGTTCCTGTTAGCTTGTGTCCTCCCTTGCTGGACAGGTAACGGCTAACAGGAGATCCCGTTCCCATCTTGGCCTTGTTACAGATTTTGTGTTTGTTGATWATCCAGCTGCTCAGCTGGAACCTGAGGCTGGACCTCTAGCTTTTCCCGAGGGTACTCCATTTTTACCTTCTGGAAGGAAGAAGACCTTTCTTTGCACTCTTTTCCTCATGTGAAATGGTACCTAGTACTTCCTCTTCAGGTTGTCCAAGGGCTTTAGGGCTGCAGGAAGACCTCAGGGCTGAGTTGTGAAGCATTTCTTGGCTTTGTGAGCTGCCTGCCAGGTGGCAGGGAAAAGGTCCTCCTTGATCCTCCCCAGCGTTGAGAACTCTGGCCTACATCTATGTGTCATCATGCCCATCTCTTCCATTCATTACAACTACTTTGGGAAGAATTGGTAGTCTTTTCTACAGAAAACTATTTTCTGCTTCCAAAGCGCGCTGTGGAGGCAGCAGATATAGTTTACAAGTTGTGTGAGCTCTGGGGTGCCCTTCACCCTGGCAGCTCCATGGCTGCTTAAATGTCTGCCCACCCCACGTGAATACCAGGGCCTGCTTTTGCAGCCTGCTTAGATTTGTGGCCACATGGGACCTTCAGAGGTGTCCACAGAAGACCCAGGAGTGGAAGGGTGCCAAGACAAGTGCCTTGGTGGAATGAAACGCTCCCTGCTCCTTCACTAGCACTGAAATCTGAAGAAGCAAAGGGTGAGTGGTGATGACAGCTCTGCTCATCCCTTTGGTTACAGATGGGGATGTAGATGATGATAATGTCAGTTCTCATCTGGATGCCAGATTAGAGTCTTGGAGGAATCATACAGGGGAGGTGTGATTACTTGCCCACTGTTTTGGTTTCCCTGAAAGAAGCAGAAATACCGAGGCCCTCACAAAGCAGCATGTTCCACGTCATGGAGGCAGATTAACAACCAACATACATGTCAGTAGAGGTCATGCATGCAATGTTGACATTCAGGAGGCCCCAGGCCCAGAGCACCTTCCGCTCTCCAGCCTCTCTCCTCATCCTCATGCTCCTGTCAAGGAGGGCACCTGCAGAAAGCTCTTTGGCTGCCATGGTCTGCAGCAAGAGGGAGCCAAACATGGAAGAGATTTAGACAGGAAGCACCACACTTAGGAGAACAGCAAGAATCCCAGACAAAGTGGATGAAAGGACATCACCTTTAGGACCTGCAGGTCCCGATTCACCAGCAGTGAGCAGGACTTGGGCCAGCAATATCCCTCTTGCAAACCCTGTAGGCGTCGTCACCGTCTGCAGGGAGGGCACAGGGCCCCATTCCCATTCCAAGGGCGCTTGTGAATAGCAGCATTCCGCAGGGGGCCCAGGCAGTGCCGCCTGCCCCTTTCCCACTGAACATCCGCCGTTCGGGAGGCCCCGCGAGCGACTCGCCCTGCTGGCCCAGCTGCCTCCGGCCACCTCTGCGTCCC